ACCGGTGGCGACACCATGGTGGCTACGTTACATTGGCATTGATTTAAATGGGACATCTTCACACTGAGCTTTGGTGGCGCGTCTGGCCGCGCGACCAGAAATGCGGTGGCTCGGGGTTGCGATTTTCAGAGAAACCAGTCTGGTGGCGCTACCACGTCGTACCATGGTGTCTTATTGGTCTGTTCACATTGGAGCGACTGGCAGCGCCACCAGTCACTACCAGCGGGCATTACACAGTATACTAGTTTACTAATTTTTGAAGTTGTTAAGGTAATAAATATGGGGAAACGATTTTATTGATGTATCACAATGTATAGGTACTCTATTTCATTTACATCTTTTCGTCATTGCAATGTATACATTGAGTCAAGGTATTACAGTTTTATTAATAAATGGTATATTAACTATGTTTTTATTTAATTTTCCGCAACGTTAGTAGCAGTTTCTCTTCTGGAGATATTTTATCTTTCAGACGTCCCAGAAGCTCATCAAAACTTAAAACACACATTCTTGAGTAAGTAGTCATTGTGAAACGTGTCAGGGTTATTTCTAAGGTCTTAGTAGTGAATGAAAAAAGTCTCTCTGGTACTTATATCTCATAAAAATGAATGAACAAAAAAATATGTTTTTTTATGTTTTCACAATTTAAAAAAATAAAAATATATACGCTAAGCACCTGCCTCTTCGACGTCCAGCTTTGTGGCTGCAGCTGCACTGGTGGCTGAGCTGGTGGTCCATGCACATTTTGACCGGCCACCAGTGTCACCACCGGTGTCGCCACCATGGTGGCCCAGTGTGAAGAGGCCCTGAGAGTATATCAATATCAGCTGTGCTGTAGGAGATTGATTAGTAGTAGAGTGGGGGAAACTACTGATTCACACTTACAGCACAGCTGAGACAGGATTAGTTTGTCTATTGGTTTCTTACCATGAGCCTGAGAACAGATAAGGAACTCTTATGTGATATCTGTCTGGCTGCATGGTTGTGAATTGTCATAATTACTTGATAAGGAATAAGATTAAACCAACTGTAGGTATACTATACCTAAGAGCATTTGATAAAGAATAAAAACTGTAAAGAAATTTAACCCTTAGAGTGCCAGGCGAGAAATAAAAGTAACGCTCAAAAAATGCCGATGATTTTTCCCGAAGGTCGCGCTAAAAATGCCGAGCGCGATCTGGCGATTTTTAGGTTAAAATTTCGTAAAAATCGAATTTTCGATATTTCGACCAACGAAAATCGATGTATCGCATCTAGTAACTTTCGACTCAATGTTAATATATGGGTTAAAAGAATCCGAGTATCCATTCGGTTGTTATGACAACTGTTCGATCATTACGAAACGTCTGGTCAGCCGGACGTTGGCACTTTTGGCTCGTTCTAAAAACGTCCAGTCGGCCGGACGTCGGCACTTTTGGCTCGTTTTAAAAACGTCCGGTTCCCCGGACGTTCGCACTCAAAGGGTAAAAAAAAAACATTAAAAATGGCATTTTTGGAGTGAAAAAAGTTTTCAAAATTGAGATTGCAACAGGCCATAACTTTTGAACAGCTAGTCCCGGGTGTATATAATTCAAATATCTACAACTATTGGCCTGCAGGGGCCATAGCCCCTAATTTAGACTACAATAAAAAAAACATTTAATAAAATAAAATGGCAAATATTCGAGATATGTTTTTAAAATTATCAATTTTATGTTTCTTAAAATTAACAGTGTTTCTTGTTTTATATCTTGGTTTTCCTTCCGTTGGAGTCGTATATTAGTTGCTTCTGATGTGTCATTGAAATACAATTGTAAAATAATGATTAAATCAATAACACAACATATTAACAAAGGAAACGTGCACATGGTTTGGCCTGAGCCCGGAGAACGACAAATCAGAGCTGAAATCATACAGCCAAACATTGCACATCTTTTCTAGTTTAAAATTGAAGATTTGTTTTGTAATCTTACGAATTATGTTATAGTTTCAATTTTGAGAACCAAATGTAAAGGTATTAACAATATAATAAAACATATGATTTGTGCACAAAAGGCAGGCAGAACATAGTAATCAGAGAGAACTGCTAACATACTCCCCCCCCCCCCCTAAATTGCAACAGGGAACTGGGCAATTTTATTCTGTGACAGGAAGAAGGTACAATTTCGCTATTGGTCCTTTCAGTATTCCAGTAGCTGTCTTCATTGTTACCACGCGAATGAGATTGTCAAGCCCAGGATGAACTTCTATGACTTTTGCTAAAGGCCATTTTGACGGAGGATATTGTTCGTCAGTGATAAGGACTACTGATCCTACTTTAAGTTCTGTGTTTGGAAATCTCCATTTATAAATTGTCTACAGTTGCTGAAGATATTGCCTTGACCATCTTTTCCAGAAACTTTGTAACATTTGCTGCAACAACTTCCATCTTTAAAGTATATTTCTTGGTACTTTCTTGAGGTCTGGTTCTGGTATTGTAGATAGTGATGCACCAACAAGAAAATGTGCAGGAGTCAATGTAGATCATCAGGATCATCAGTCAATTTGCAGAGAGGTCTCGAATTCAAAACCTCTTCGATTTGTGTGAGAATGTTAGTGAATTCTTCGTATGTTAGTTGAGTGTTACCAACGATTCGTTTTAAGTGATATTTCACTGACTTCACTCCTGCTTCCCAGTGACCACCGAAGTGAGGAGCAGATGGATGGTTAAATTTCCACAATGTTCCATCTTTAGTTAGAAGATCTCTTAGTTTAGTACTTGCCGTTGTTGAAGCCGTGAATAGACGTTTTAGTGCTGCATCAGCGCCGATAAATGTAGTACCACAATCACTGGACAGAGTGGAAGAAATTTCACGGCGAGCTGTGATTCTCTTATATGCTGCAATGAATGCTTCTGCAGAGTAATCTGTGACTAATTCGAGGTGGAGTGCAGATGTTGAAGAGCAGATGAATACTGGATAGATAGTAAAATTGATGCAATAAAAAAGATAAAATTCAAGAGATGGTTTAATGAACATGATTATTAAAGAACTGACAAAATGTAAACAAAAATGTAAATAGAGTATTAACAATATAATAAAACATATTATTGTGCACAAAAGGCAGGCAGAACATAGTAATCAGAGAGAACTTCTAACAGTTTGTAACTGATCTTATTTTGTTTTCTAGTTATAAGAGGTTTTGTTTAGTTTAGGTCCTGGCTTGAGTCAAATTGTAAAATAGTTTTATAACTGAAATTCGCTCATGAATATTTTGAAAGTAAACTGATGAATAAACAGAAAAAGGAAATATTAAAATGACAGAAGAGAATAGGGCTATTTTTATGAAGACAGCTATTTTTTTAAGAAATTAATCATGTCAGGTAAACTTACTAAATTTTGACTTTTATCTTGAAAAATACATGAAACTTAAAAATCCAATGGATTGAAGCACATTGAACTGATCGTGACACAAATTATTCCATGACTTCTCCAGAGAATTTCCTTTAATTTGACAACTACGTCATCAAAATCGGTTCATAAATAAAATATTTTTGCTCTACACAAGAAATTCCTGACAGAATAAGAATAATAGATAGGTTTCTTTTATTTTAAACTAGCGGTTGTACCTGTGCTTTGCAACGGGAAGAGGGAACAAAATAGAAACATTTTGATCTTTACATTTGTATAAAATAGTTACACATCCACCAACGCTTAAAAAAAAACAAAATTCGGCTGCACTTTAGAATCCGTCTTTAGATAGATTTTCATACAATTTACTATGGTATAGCCCTTTAAATTCTGAACAAAATGGTACAAATACAATTTCTGTAAAAGTTATGGTTCAAAACTATTATAAATGATGTTATTTTCCCATAAAACCCCATATAATAACGATAGGATTTAACAAACATGGTTTTGATTTAGCTTAGTATGTTATGGTCCTAAAAATTTTGAAAGTTTTTTTCTTTTTTTCTTTTTGATTTTTTATGGGAATTTTCCCTTAAAACAACAGCAAAATAGAATTTTCTCGAAAATGGCCTGAACGATTTTCTAAAAGATTTAATATGTTATAGTCCTTTTCATTCCGAACAAAATGGTAGAAATCCCATTTCAGTAAAAAATAAGGTTCAAAAGTGATTGTATCTTATGTCATTTTCCTATAAAAAACAATAAAATAATAACAAAATTGGGAATTTAAAAAAAACTGGTATTTATCAAAGTTAATATGTTATGGTCCTTAAAATTCTAAAAAAATAGTACAACTCCCCATTGCTGTAAAAATTACGGTTCAAAGGTTATTGAAACTTTTTTAATTTTTAACCATAAAATATCATATTTACTCTCACCGCTTACTATGATAAAGGTTGCTGACAAGCTTATGGGAGAAAGTATGTGTCAGAATGCTGATACCGTTTATTAGTTTGATCTTTAAAAATACATGGAAACTTTAAAAGACAAAAGAGTGAAGCACACTAAACTGAGCGTGACACAAATTATTCAATGACTTCTACAGAGAATTCCATTTAATTTGACAATTACATCGTCAAAATCGGTTCATAATAAAATTGTTTTGCTGTACACGAGAAATTCCTTACAGAATAAGAATAATAGATAGTTTTCTTTTATTTTAAATACGGAAAAGTTTTCTCTGCAACAGGCGATTCATATTAAGCGGTGTTCGGATTTGAGGTGTTATTGGTTAGTGGCATTTTTTTATGTTGAGAAAAACAGTTAAGCCCTATATTTGGATATTTATAATGTTCTCACGCTAGTAGAAATTTAAATATTGTTAATTGATTGTTCAACCCATTTGAATAGATTAATAAATGGTTTTAATAAGGTATGATCTTTCTTAGAAGAGAAGACAAAAAGAGAGGAGAATATAGTTTAACAACTTTAAAAGAACTAATTAATTGATATACTCCCTGATGTAATACTTTGAAGAACCACTCCAAATGTTATGTTTCCCTACACAAGTTTAATAAAACAATTTGTTTTGTTTGACTAGAATTTGAGTTTCAATAAACATTTCTGTTTTAGGTCGAGACAAAAAAGAATTAAAACAACAGATTAAATTGATTTAAGAAGTAATATAATGCAAAAGAAGAATAAAGAAGACACGAGAAAAAGGAAAATCCCTCAAGTGTATTGTAAAAATATCTAATATGCATTGCAAGATTTGACTATGAGGTGATTCAATGTTGAGTGAAAGAGGTAGCCTATCATGTAACTACTAGCCACTTAACAAGGCCTACAAACAAGTTTTAGTTACATACGAATTTATGACTTTTCTAATTAGTTACTAGCTTGTGTGATAAGATTTATAGATATAAAAATTGCAAGAGTAGAAATGTTAACTTGCTTCAAAAAATATCCTCTTAAGTGTCCAATATGTGTGCAAAGTTGTTCAACTCCATCCGCAATGAAGGCTCATATATTGTATCACACGGGAGAGCGTCCCTTTAAATGTTTGGCATGTGGGAAAACTTTTTTCCAAAAACACCATGTAAAAAGACATTTGTTGATCCATTTTGCGATATATCATTATAAGTGCCCAACATGCGAAAAATCCTTTGCATCAAAATACTATATGAAGAGACACACACTAGTTCATACAGGAATGAGACCTTACAAGTGCTGTACATGTGGAAAATCCTTTAAAACCAAAGGCAATATGAAGATACATTCATTGTTTCATACAGATAAGAGACCTTTTAAGTGCTCTACGTGTGGAAAATCCTTTACATACAAAGGCGATATAAGGACACATTCATTGGTTCATAGAGAAGAGAGACCTTACAAGCGCTCTACATGTGAAAAATACTTTAAATCCAAAGGCGATATGGTGAGACATTCATTAGCTCATATAGGAGAGAGACCTTACAATTGCTCTACATGTGGAAAATCTTTTACATCCAAAAGCGATATAAAGAGACATTCATTGATTCATACAGGAGAGGGACCTTACAATTGCTCTACATGTGGAAAATCTTTTACATTCAAAGGCGATATGAAGAGACATTCATTGGTTCATACAGAAGAGAGACCTTACAAGTGCTCTACATGTGGAAAATCTTTTACATCCAAAGGCGATATGAAGAGACATTCATTGGTTCATACAGGAGAGAGACCTTACAATTGCTCTACATGTGGAAAATCTTTTACATCCAAAGGCGATACGAAGAGACATTCATTGGTTCATACAGGAGAGAGACCTTACAATTGCTCTACATGTGGAAAATCTTTTACATCCAAAGGCGATATGAAGAGACATTCATTGGTTCATACAGGAGAGAGACCTTACAATTGCTCTACATGTGGAAAATCTTTTACATCCAAAGGCGATATGAAGAGACATTCATTGGTTCATTCAAAAGAGAGACCTTACAAGTGCTCTACATGTGAAAAATGCTTTAAATCCAAAAGGGATATGGAAAGACATTCATTTGTTCATACAGGAGAGAGACCATACAAGTGTTCTACATGTGGAAAATCCTTTAAATCCAAAGGTCATATGAAGAGACATTTATTAGTTCATACAGGGGAGAGATCTTACTAGTGCTCTACATGTGGAAAATCCTATAAAACTAGAACTCATATGCTGAAACATTCATTGTTTTATACAGGAGAGAGACATTACAAGTGCTCTACATGTGGAAAATCCTATAAAGCCAAAACTCATATAATAAAACATTCATTGGTTCATACAGGAGATAGACCTTACAAGTGCTCTGTATGTCAAAAAATATTTACATCGAAAGGCGATATGAAGAGACATTCATTGGTTCATACAGGAGAGAGCCTTTATAAGTGCTCTACATGTGAAAAATCCTTTACATCCAAAGGCGATATGGAGAGACATTCATTGGTTCATACAGGAGAGAGCCTTTATAAGTGCTCTACATGTGAAAAATCCTTTACATCCAAAGGCGATGTGGAGAGACATTCATTTGTTCATACAGGAGAGGGACCTTACAAGGCTCCACATGTGAAAAATCCTTTACAACCAAAGTTAGTATGAAGAATCATTCATTACTTTGTAATAAACCTCTAAATATGTTGTTATTTCATTTTTGTCTTAACTAATAATAGAAATGATGAGGTCAAGATGTTATTGGATACAATGTTTAATGGTAAATAAAGGGTTACAAAAAGTCTTGAAGGGTGGGGATTAGTGCAGACTGAATCAAAAGATTTCTTTGACTTTATAAAATGCAATAAGTTAAGATGTAGATTGAATTAGAATAATAATTTGGAAACAATATTTTAGTAAGATCATAAATTTGTCTTTTCTTTTCTTAATATTACTGAAATATAGAGGTCGTTTTAGTCCCAAAAAAGATCCTGGAGATGTCTATAGTTTGAGTTAATAATAAATTGAATGTTCTCACCAATCTTCTGGAATAATAATTTTCTTCTGAATAATATAGGCTTTAATTCTTCTTTCTTCAGTTAATTTTGATATTTTGACAATAGTTTATATTATAATTTCACTTTTTTTTTATCACAACTAATAGTTTCTGTATGTTCTTCTTGGATACCTTAACTGCACTCTCACTGTTCATTGTTGTAAATTATGGGGCTTACATTTTTAAAAACATGGTTGAATTTTATTGACAATCTTGAACCTAGATGCACTGTATTTTAAATGGAGGAATTGTTTTGAATAATAATTTTGAATAAGCCAATGAATAAAATTTGATTATAAATTATATATATGTTGAGACAATATGGTTTTACTAATATTAACAATGAACATGAATAAATATTGAAAATATAACAAGATTTAGTTTGGAATTTTATTAGGCCTAATGACTATATTAATTATAAACATTAGTTTTTGAGTCATTACAATATCCCCTTTAGAAAATATGTAATTAAATTCTTTAATGACTTGTTTTCGATAAATGACGAGAAAACATATTTAATTTAACAACAGCAATTAACAAATACTTGATTGAGATGAAAAAAATATAACTAGCTTAACATTACATAATGTTTTATCTTTTAGATCACTAAATCCCACTGTGTTTCCTTATAACATCAATGGTACAATTTTAGAAAGAGTAAAACGTTTTAGGGACTTAGGAGTTATCATGACATCAGACTTGCAGTTTAATGAACATATAGCGAACATGGTTAATAGGTCTTTTAGTACGTTGGGCTTCATAACTAGAACCTGTAAGCTATTCCACGATTCACTTACTTTCTTAACTCTTTATAAGTCACTAGTCAGATCAAAGCTCGAGTTTGCAAGTATAGTGTGGTCACCTCACACATCGTTCTATGTAGAAATGATTGAAAGAGTTCAGAAGCGATTCTTGAGGACTTTGTATTTCAAGGCTTTTGGGGTTCGTGTTTATCCTATTTGGTCAATAAGATATGAAGAGCTTCTACATTTGTTTGAATTCCATCGCTTAGAGGTCAGGAGGAAGGTGGCAAGCCTATGTTTTCTGAAGGGTGTCATGACTGGGTCCGTGGACGATGCTGAGCTCTTGGCCAACGTGCCGTGGCATGTGCCGAGACGCGGTGGTCGCGCTAGTAGGCTACTGTATGTGGATTACGCTAGGACGGTGGGGCACGCGACTTCGCGTATGTTATCAGCGTTCACTTTGATGAATCTTGTATCTGCTCATATTGACTTCACTACTGGACTCAGACAATTTAGGAATAAGTGTTTTGACATTATTTCACAAAATGTTATTTAATAAGAATTTAATCTAGCTATACTGTTGTTATCATACTTTCGTTATCATACTTAATCATTCAACTTTCCTTATTTTTGTAACATGTTTAGGTATTTTATGTACGTGTGTATTTGTGTATATTTCCATATTGTCTCAAATGATCATTTTATCTTATCATCCATATTTGTTCAAATAATGTACTCGACTTGTTTTATTGTTAATTTTATTATGTAAGGGTTTTTACGGGAGACCAAGTTATTAGCATCGGGTTCCCCTATAACTGGGCTTTTGCCTGTAGGGGCTACCTTTTGCAGGTTTTAATAATTCTGTTTAGATTAAGTAGTAATTTTTTATTTTATTTTGTATAGTCATAATTAGTTTTTATTCTCTTAGTATTAGTTTTACTCACTAGTTTACTTTATTCATTAAGAAATAAAAGAAGGACTATAATTTTTATGCTGTACTGTATATACATTGTTGTCATTCCTGCAATAAAGAGATTTCTATTCTATTCTATTCTATCTAGAACAAAATTCTAGTTGGAACGAACATAACAATAACATAATTGTAAAATAACAAAATGATAACTAATCCCCTCCTATCTTCTACAAACTTTAATAACATAACATTAATTAAAGTGGTTAAAACAATTTTTTTTTAACATAATACATGAATTGAATGATAAATTTAAATTTTGATATATGAAGGGAACATGAGACATATACAAGATAAATGATGCTTACAGATAATATGGAGTACATTGAATTAATTTTGACAGTTGTTGATGATGATTGCTTGATGATAACTTCTTATAACTAAATACATGTGATTATGACTATCGTTTATAACCATTGGAACAAAGGTAACTGGGGTAGATTTTGAAGGTATTCATGTTGTTGTGGGTCTGTGGTTCTTTCTATGTAGAGGATAGTTAATTCATTTGTTATATTACATGAATCAGTTTGTTGGTTTGGTGGAATCCGGCTAAGAGTATCGGCCGTTATATTTTCAGTGCCCTTGCAGTGGATTATTGTGAAATTATATTCTTGGATAGCTAAAATCCATCTAGCAAGGCGGTTGTTGAGGAGTTTACAAGTTTTTAAGAAAGTAAGGGCATGATTATCAGTTATGATTTTCAATTTGGTACCTAATGTAATGTATCGAGATTTCTGTAGACAATGAATTATAGCCAATAACTCTTTTTCTGTGGTAGTGAACCGTTGCTTGGCAGGCTGTAGCGTTCTGGACATAAACATGATAGCAGCTTTATCTCCGTTCTCTTTGATTTGATACAGTGACCTCTGATGGTTATGTCTAAGGCATCAGTCTGTAAGTAGAATTCTTTGGCTGGGTCAGGATGATTTAATACACTGGTTTGCAGGAAAAGTTGTTTGATCTCATTGAAGGTGATGTCGTCTGCAGGTGTCCAGATAAACTTATTCTTTTTAGAAGTTAGTCGCAATAAAGGTTGAATTGTAAAGAAGAATTATTCAGAAATTTATTGTAATAATTAATACAACCAAGGAATGATTTAAGTTGTGTTCTGTTCTTTGGTGTAGGGTATTTTAAGATGGGTCTACCTTGCTTTGATCCATTATAAGTCCTTCTTTTGTCAGTGTGTACCCGAGGAATGGTACTGATTCTCTGCAAAACTGTGATTTGTTGAAGTTGATGGTCATGTTAGCTGATTGCAACTTCTAAAAAATCTATATAAATACAATTAGAGTTTTGTTTGTACATTGCTCAGAATTAAATATTTTTAGGTTATTTTTACGTGTAATACATTAAAGAAGCAGAAGCAAGTCTTATCTCAATTTCTGTCTGTCTTTCTGTCTGCCTGTAACACTCAAGATGGTATTTTACGCTATCTTCTCCATAAAAGCGAGAGTACCTATCAAGATCCAAGTCATTTTAATGTATTCAATGGTTTGGCGAGAGTGTCTTTAGCCATTATGGCTTCACTACTATGTAACTAAAATTACGAACGTTCAAAAATGCAGTTTTATGTGATTTCTGTCAATTTTTCGTCAAATGTTTATTACATAATCATCTATGAAATAACGAACAGCTGTTCGGATAGATTATTTTTCTAGCTGTCTATGATATGTTTTCAAATGTTGTTTACAAATTCCGCAACCATTTCCGATCACGTTTTGAAAGCAAATCCTAACCAAGTGAGATTAAACACGTTTTTCTTACATAACGGATTTAATTAATCGCAAGTGGAATAATATTATAGTGTAACCGTAAATGAAATTAAATAACGAGGCATCATCCAGGTCAGGAACCAGACATTCTTTGTGTATAAAATTGTTCTTGAGTTTTTATAGCCAGAAAGAAGACCTTGAATAAGTGTTGTATAGGGCTGGAACACTTAATGATCGTCACCAATAGCTTACAAGCAAGGTTTACACTCATTGACGGCACTTCAATGGCGGTTGTGTAAAGTGTAAAGTAAAAAATCACAACTGCAGTGGGTGATTGTGCCGAATTTACGGATGATGCAAAACTCGCTTTTCCAATGTATCACTTTCTATTTGTACTCACTGTGTGAAGCAATCGCTGGACCATACAGCCAATGGGCCCATAGCCCATCTCTTGGGTACGTACGCCTACCTATTTATTCATAACAACCTTTTCGACGACATCGTTAATGCCGGTACTTTTCCATAGAATACATGGCCTACCTACTTAAGAAATAAAATTACAAATGTCCAAAAATCCAACATTGTGTGATTTTTTGTCACATTTCCTTCTACTGTTAATAGATATACTAATAATTGTTATCGTTGTATTTTGACAGTTAACTGATGAATAAACAGAAAAAGTAAATATTAAAATTACAGAATAGAAAAGGGGGTTTTTATGAAAGAGCTACAGACTATACCTGTAGTCCAATTTTGATGAAACTTGATATGTAGGTACTAATCTCTGATATCTCCAGGTGTTTTTATAATTTTTTTGAAATTTAGACTTTCATTGTTTGTTTTTTCCATAAAAACCCATAAAATAATGGAAAAATCGGATTTTCTCAAAAATGGTCCGAACGATTTTCATACAATTTACTATGGTATAGCCCTTTAAATTCTGAACAAAATGGTACAAATACAATTTCTGTAAAAGTTATGGTTCAAAAGTATTGTAAATTATGTTATTTTCCCATAAAAACCCCATATAATAACGATAGGATTTAACAAACATGGTTTTGATTTAACTTAGTGGGAGCGTTTCATAAACTCCAAATTTCACAAACTCCAACGCTTAAAATATTAAATAAACAGAGTGGTTCATAACCTCCAATTTTCATAAGCTCCAAATCTATAACATTCAAATAATCACTGTTTCACAATGTCCAAATTTCACAAACTCCAACGTTAAGATACCAAATAAACAGTGCGGTTCATAATGTCCAAATTTCATAACCTCCAACGGTACAGTCTGAGCCAGAAGACTCTACAGTGGTTGACAATTTCCGAAATTACAATCGGGGAAGCATTTATATCAAAGAATTTTGTTAACTATAGACTACCGGTAAGCATTAAAATGCACAAACATACGCCTGTAAATTAAGTTACCATTCTTCGTAATGTAATGACATATTTGATGTAATACAGTATAATGATAATTAAATGCTAGAAACTCAGTTTCTATATCCCGTAAACTGATGCTGAGCCGGCCAAACTCCTAGCGCCAATGCCGCGCCAAGCGATTTTATGCCTATTTGTAATCGCTTAAAAATGATACAAGCAGGCTCCGTATCAAAAAAAGCTTCAAATAAAAAATAAAATTCATACTTTGATCTAAAACTTTGCCGCAGGAATTTTTTCCCTGACCAAAAAATAAAAAAGTTCCTCGCTTACTACATTTTTCATGTTTTTTATGGTGTTAAAAAACAATCATCTGTTTTAATTTGCCTAAATAAATTATAAAAATTATGTTAAGGTAAAAACTAGCTACATAGTAATGAGCACTGGTTTTTCCAGAAAAATAATATATCAATTTGAAATTTGTATGTTAACAAATAAGTGTAGCAGAGCAGGTTGAGTGAATGTATGTTTGTGTAAAACAGAGAGGTTCATTCGGCCCGTCCGCCTCGGTATCCCGCCAATTCGATTGACTTATGGCAGAGACTATACCGTTGGAGCTTATGAAACTTGGAGGTTATGAACCGCTCTGTTTATTTGATATTTAAAAGTTGGAGTTTGTGAAATTTGGACATTGTGAAACTGTGCTTATTTGAAAGTTATAGTTTTGGAGTTTATGAAGTTTGGAGGTTATGAAACACACTGTTTATTTAATATTTTAGACGTTGGAGTTTGTGAAATTTGGACATTATGAACCTCACCCAACTTAGTATGTCATGGTCCTAAAAATTTTGAAAGTTTTTTCTTTTTTTATATTTGATTTGTTATGGGAATTTTCCCATAAAACAACGGCAAAATAGAATTTTCTCGAAAATGGCCTAAACGATTTTCTAAAACGTTTAATATGCTATAGTCCTTTTAATTCAGAACAAAAAGAAATCCATTTCCGTAAAAAATAAGGTTCAAAAGTGATTGTAACATATGTCATTTTCCTATAAAAAACAATAAAATAATAAAAAAATTCGGAATTTTGGAAAAAAACTGGTTTTTATCAAAGTTAATATGTTATGGTCCTTAAAATTCTAAAAAAATAGTCAAACTCCCCATTGCTCAACAACACAACAACAAAACAATTACGGTTCAAAGGTTATTGAAACTTTTTTAATTTTTAACCATAAAATATCATATTTACTCTCACCGCTTACTATGATAAAGGTTGCTGACAGGCTTATGGGAGAAAGTATGTGTCAGAATGCTGATACCGTTTATTAGTTTGATCTTTAAAAATACATGGAACCTTTAAAATACAATAGAGTGAAGCACACTAAACTGAGCGTGACACAAATTATTCCATGACTTCTACAGAGAATTCCATTTAATTTGACAATTACATCATCAAAATCGGTTCATAAATAAAATTGTTTTGCTGTACACGAGAAATTCCTACAAAATAAGAATAATAGATAGTTTTTTTTTTATTTTAAATACGACTAAGTTTTCTCTGCAACAGGTGATTCATATTAAGCGGTGTTCGGATTTGAGGTGTTATTGGTTAGTGGCATTTTTTTAAATGTTGAGAAAAACAGTTAAGCCCTATATTTGGATATTTATGATATTCTCACGCTAGTAGAAATTTAAATATTGTTAATTGATTGGTCAATCCATTTAAATATATTAATAAATGGTTTTAAGGTAGGTATGATCTTTCTTAGAAGAGAAGACAAAAGAGAGGAGAATATAGTTTAATCACTTTAAAAGAACTAATTAATTGATATACTCCCTGATGTAATACTTTGAAGAACCACTCCAAATGTTATGTTTCCCTACACAAGTTTAATACAACAATTTGTTTTGTTTGACTAGAATTTGAGTATCAATAAACATTTCTGTTTTAGGTCAAGACAAAAAAGAATTAAAGCAACAGATTAAATTGATTTAAGAAGTAATATAATGCAAAAGAAGAATAAAAAAGACAAGAGAAAAAGTAAAAGTGTATTGTAAAAATATCTAATACGCATTGCAAGATTTGACTATGAGGTGATTCAATGTTGAGTGAAAGAGATAGCCTATCATGTAACTACTAGCCACTTAACAAGGCCTACAAACAAGTTTTAGTTACATACGAATTAATGACTTCCCTAATTAATTAGTTACTACCTAATGTGATAAGATTAATAGAAATAAAAGGGCCAAGAGTAGAAATGCTACCTTGCATAAACAAATTTTCTCTTGAATGTCCAATATGTAGGCAAAGTTGTTCAACTCAATCCACAATGAAGGCTCATATATTGTATCACACGGGAGAGCATCCCTTTAAATGTTTATCATGTGGGAAAACCTTTTTCCAAAAATACCATGTAAAAAGACATTTGTTGGTACATCATAAGTGCCCAGCATCTGAAAAATCCTTTGGATCAAAAGACTATATGAAGAGACACACACTAGTTCATACAGGACAGGGACCTTACAAGTGCTCTATATGTGGAAAATCATTTAAATTAAAAAGCGTCATGAAGAAACATTCATTGATTCATACAGGAGAGAGACCTTACAAGTGCTCTACATGTGGGAAAACCTTTATATCTAAATACAATATAAAGCTACATTCATTGGTTCATACGGGAGAGAGACCTTACAAGTGCTCTACATGTGGAACATCCTTTACAACCAAAAGCAGTATGAACAAACATTCATTGGTTCATACGGGAGAGAGACCTTATAAATGTTCTACATGTGGAAAATCCTTTACATCCAAAGGCGATATGAAGACACATTCATTGGTTCATACAGGAGAGAGACCTTATAAGTGCTCTACATGTGGAAAATCCTTTACATCCAAAGGCAGTATAAACAAACATTCATTAGTTCATACAGGAGATAGACCTTACAAGTGCTCTACATGTGGAAAATCCTATAAAACAAAAGCCCACATGATGACACATTCATTGGTTCATACAGGAGAGAGACCTTACAATTGCTCTACATGTGGAAAATCATATAAAACCAAATCTCATATGAAGATACATTCATTGGTTCATACTGAAGAAAGACCTTACAAGTGCTCTACATGTGAAAAGTCCTTTAAATCCAAAGGCGATATGAAGAGACATTCTTTGGTTCATACAGGAGAGAAACCTTACAAGTGTTCTACATGTGAAAAATCCTTTACATCCAAAGGCGATATGAAGAAACATTTATTGGTTCATATGGGAGAGAGTCCTTAATTGTGTTACATAATATGCGGAAAGGCCCTTAGTGACTGCAAATAAGTGTATTTTTTCATGCCTATTTTTTTCAACATCTCAAGGAAGCGAAAAATAAAAAAAAACTTTTTTATTAATTAAAGTTAAAGTTTATATTTTTACAAATCCAATGATATATAATACATGTAATTTACTTAATAATTTTTTACAGAAAAAAATATTTAAAATGAGTCCACGCTAAGAACTGTACCCCAAATTTACAGTTTTCGACCATAAACCCCGTCATATATATTTTCTCTTCATAGTTTTCATAGTAGGTTTTTTCAGGTTAGATCGTTCGCTACGCTAACTCGCCTCCAGTTTGAAGTTTGTTCGCTACGCTCACTCACATTTGGGTTGCAAATTAGCTGTTGCCATAAATGTAAAAGAAATAATAGTGCTGCACGCTGTCGGTAATCCTTGTAACTTGAATGCTATTGAACATCATAGAACAGAACCAACATGTTTAATTGTAACAGCTGTTAAGATTCATTATAATTCCATTTAAATATGAGAACTCATAAGGTTAACATGGGAAACTCCAGAGCCACTGGGACAGAGCCCGAGAGTCCGATCAGAATAAAAACAGCTTAGTTTTCCTATTTAATGCCTAAAGAATCAGTGTACCAAATTTCAACCTCCTAGGTAAATGGGAAGTAAGAGGATTAGTGATGAGTGAGTGAGTCAGTCAGTCAGTGAGGGCTTTGCCTTTTATATATATAGATTGTGATAGCCTAGAGTATATTATAAGGGTACACTTTTATCAGTGAGGGCTTTGCCTTTTATATATATAGATTGTGATAGCCTAGAGTATATTATAAGGGTACACTTCCATATCTGTCGGCACTACTATCGAATGAGTACTTTTAATCGATATATTGATTATTCAATATATTGATTTTTACAATAACGATAGATTAATTTTCGTTTGGTTGGTTAGGTAAGGTTATTATAAATAAACAAACGAAATATCGAATGGAAATAGTAGTTTACGCAACGATTGCGTTAAGTTAGTCTTTACGACACGAGTACAAAATTTAAGGCACAAGCCTTGGCGAGTGCCTTAAAAACTTCTACGAGTGTCGTAAAGACTATTAACGCAAGTTGCGTACACTACGACAGTTTTTTAATTGCTAAAAATCTGGTTTTTATTACTAACAATCACTACTCATAACTTTCTAGAGAGGTTATGTTTTCGTTTATTGTCATTGTTACAGAAAGTGATGCAACGACTTATTGTATAATCAGCAGATTTCATGTAATTACCGTGTTTGTAAAACTTTGTTAAATAATACGTTACTTTTTCAGGCAATAGGTTCTGCTATCAGCATTCTTACTATAAATACTGTTTCAGTTACAATTAGGGAAATATTGCATATATTTTTGGAAAACTGAATAATATAGTGAAACAGTTAATTTAAAGTTAGATCTCAACATCGACTATGTGGTCCACAACGAGTTGGGTGAAAAAGTGGTTTAGAGGTTTTCAAAATAAACCAGAAGAACATTTACATTTATCAATTTAACCTAATTTTGTTTCGTCCATTTAATGAATTGCTGGTATGTAATTGCATACCTTTGTTTTGATTTTGGTGGCAAAAGATTAGCACAAACATTTTGTGCTCTTATATCCATCTCGTCAACATCACTTTTAATAACTGATATTTTAAAATCAACCTTAATTTAACTTCCACCAACTTAGGTTAAGAATACGCAAGTATCAACAGGAACAAGCCGGATCAACAATTAAAATTGTCAACTGATCAGCTGCAGCTGATCAGCTGATTATTTGACGTTCGAAGTATTACAATTAATTGTACTTATTTTCTCTCAATCCTTGAACTTCATTGGTCCGTTACCCGTGTTGTTATGAGAAAAACTATGCCGTTATGAAAGTAAACACTGCTGTTAAGTGAAACTTTTCAATTCTAAGAACTGTACTGACTGAAATGGCTACTTTAAAAAACGGTCGTAGGTAAAATATAATAAAACTATATTTAACAAAGTTCTAACATAAAAACAAGGTTAAAAACAACTAAAAACACTGTTTAAAGCCCAGGATATAACATTAAGGTGTTTTGTAGTGCGATTATACATCTATAATGACCTTGAACTTTGCTTTTACTACGGCATTCAAATATAACACTAGATGGACCTCTTACCAAAATCTTCATTTCTTTATCACAAGCATCACAATTAGGTGTTTTGGAACCAATTTTACAAATTGTAAATTTAAAAAACACTTTAAATAACACTGTAATGCAATTTCAGAAAATTATCTAAAATTAAACGTCATTTTTCTAAGAAAATTAATTCAACTTTAACTTTGTTTATTTACAATAATATTATTTTTATAATTGTCAAATCTTACTAATATTATAAATGTGAAAGTTTGTGTGTTTGTTTGTTTGAAGTTCAATCACGCATTTAAATCTTTAATCTTTCAAATCTTTAATAATTTATTTTTCTCTGATTGTTTAGCTGAAGTGGTAGAACAGTATGGCTATGGTAGATGTGAAAAGAAGGAAATTTTATCAAACTGTGTCCTCCCCCATTGTAAACGCAAAGCTTGAGTATAAATGCAATGAGCATTTTATACTTATATGACAATCCCGTACGAAGGACAGGTACTATTTAATAATTTATTAAAACCATCGAAATAACGATTGATATAATCGGTATATCGAATAATCGATTTATCGATTAAAAGTAATCATTCGGGAAATTCAAAACAAATGAAAGAAATTCTAATCACATGTGTTATTTACAGCGTGGGGGGAGGGGGGAATAGAGAAGTCCGTACTGTACACATTACATATTTTTGGTCAGTTTTCCACCACTGAACGAACTCTAGTTTTCATAAATAATGGCCAAACCTAACAAAAACAACTATTATACTAAATAAGTAACAACCTTACCAACCTCCCTGCATAAGAATGGAGTACTATTCGATTCGATTCGTTTTATCGTAAGAGCCAGTAACCCTCCGATTTCAAACCCGGTACCTATAATTAAACATACCCGGGCCCCATGATGTAGGCCGAAGCAAATGCACCAACCTTTGGCACATAATGGGAGGATGACTTAAGGTCATCAGGCTCACCGGCTGCCGAAGCAACCCGTCGGAGAGAGGGTTTCCCCTCAATCCTAACCAGGGATACCGGCTACTTGTTTAAGCGTCACTCCACCTGGGTTCCCCCAGGTACAAAACCCAGAAGGACCATAATGGAATGCCCTGACGCATTTAGTGCAAGCAACACTCGGGACCTATCCAATCCCTGACAGGCAGAGCCCGCCATCAAAGCCAGGAAGAAGGGGACCACCAGCAAGCTGATGGGGGGAACCCCAACCACCTATTTACACCACTACCCGATCGAGGCCTTACCCAGTTGCTGGGAAACCAGAGGTGAACAAGGCGATAGATCCCTGAACACCCCTAGCGGGCTTGAACCCAGCACCCGATCTACTTCAGAATGAAGTACTGTGTAATATAGGAAATTTCATCTACATACATTGTCGCCTTATTGCATTTTCACTTAAATATTAAAATATATAGACTACAGTCACGGCCGCCTTTAACTACAGGCCGCGGCCTGGTAAAATTGGCAAAATCGCAAGTGGTGTTGTTCAGTGCCAGACGTCTCATAAGATAACATGGCAGACAGGTGACATCAGCTCATTAATTCACACTTTATTGATTTAAATTTAAATTTATGAACATAAATTTATTAAAATATTGAAAATAAAACATACAGAATTGAAAACCGAAACAATATGAATTAAAATCTATATCTGTACATTTTAAGTGGAGTCAATATTGTCATAGTCCAGTAACCAATCTTTCGTAAATACACAAATGCCATTATCTGCTTCTAAACAAAACAGCTGTTACAACACCACTTGCGACGTTGCCAGTTCGAAGGCCGCGGCCTGCTACAGTATACTGTAGGCGAGAGTTAAGAAGTCCCCTGAGCTCTGGCTTATTCTACAAATGCAAGCGCTTGCTACTCAAAGCTTGCCTCTCAACACGGCTGTCAGGGCTCAAACATCTACTGCGTAAAAACCAAAGTAGGCAACTACGATTTAAATTTATTTTCCTACTCCTTAATTAATATTGCAGAAGTACAATAAAAATTCATGTACGACAAAACGACGTCCAACTTATCTAATTGCACTTTGTGGTGGTCTGCTCTTTTGCGTTTTTTCTGGTGTGTTGAGTTTCTTATCAAGAGTTAATTTACCAGATGTTCGAACATGTACAATAGTTTTTTTTACCTAAATAATAATAATAATAATAATAATTTGCTGTACTTTCTGTTGCTATATTGTAGATTTGAACTGATAATGTTTGTTGCCACATTCCTTGTCACAAACTTATCCACTCTTCTAATCAAGTTCCTCCCCGCACTGTGATTCGTTGACCCATGTTTCCTGACATTTTCCATTACACTTAACTGCAAGACCACCATCACAGTAATTATAAATTACCAATTATTTAAGATGGGGACGCCACTAATTGCGTATTTACCCAAATAAGTGTGAATGATGAGTGGCGCGATGTTGTAGTCTTGTTAGTGACTAAGGTCGACACATTCCTTAGACACAGCTGTTATATAATAGCCCAATCAGCTACAACAAACCCATTGGTGTTTTAGCTGAAAAAACTTCACATCTGGCAACCAACGCGCCCCTTTTGGATTCAGTTAGTACATGAGGAGCGAGTCTAAAAAGTCCGGGACACAATCTTTTCTGGCACTCTATGGATGTTTATGACGTAATCAATATGGCCGCCAAAGTTGTGTGACGTGCTTCTACATTTTCCTATATAACTCGGGTTCATTTTTTAATATTGCCCTACATTTTTAGTAATTATT